TAAGGAACGGAAGCAGCAAAGCTAAAGTGGCGGTAGGTTTTCTCTGTTTGAGAATCAGAGCTTGAAGGATGGAAAGGAAATACATGTGAAGGGCACTGAAAATGAGACAAAGGAACTGGGATACTTTATGCTGTGGGAAAAGACACGTCTGGGCGAAGGAGCGGCAGGAGATCAACTGTTCAGTTTTAACCACAATGAATACGGAAACGGCCCTAACGATCCCTTTACTGCTAATCCGCAGCTTCAGTGCTTTAATACCACTTATTTTCTGTAACAAATAAACCTATCACATTAGTGTTTTTATAAGCACTTCACAATTCTTTAATCTGCCATAAAAGGTAAATAATCCTTTAAATCAGGGGGTAAAAATGTAAATGCCTACTATAGTGCCTAGGCAGGTAACAATCATGACTGAAGTGGTCTTGGTGAAAGCAGATGACAGGTAAGAAAAAGTGGTATGCACTGCCCCAACTGGGGGCGCGCGGTGCCGCGTCCAGAAGGAGCAGCTGGACACAATACCAGCCAGCTGTTACCATGTAGCAACATAGGTCCAGTGTTGCAAGATCACTGGTTCTGTTTACTAAAGTGAAGCCAGAAATCCGTATTTTTGTGTGAAATGTCCTAATATTAAAAACATACTGCAGTCCAAACAAAACACATCCTTGGGCTAAACAGCCTTACAACCCGTTGTACATCTTCTCAGCTGTCTCCAATTTGTAAGAACTCACCAGATAAATGCACCTAAATTCCCAATTAAAATGTAACCTCCAACACACCCTGAAAGCAAATAAGCTAAAGAGTCCAGACTACACAAAAGATAATGAAAAGGAGGGAGGGCTGAATGTAATCAACTATTTCCCCATTTCATTTTACTAGTTAATTTACTGACGACCCTAGTACAAAGGTGCTGTTAAGATAGGCAGCAGTTACAATAAAATTTCTAAAACCTCCATGACTTGGTAACTTCAATACATTTGTGTTAATGGAATCTAACCTATGTCTTACTTACAAAATCTTTAATCATTTTATATATCATCTACAGATAAATCACTTTACTCAACTTCTTACATCACAGATAGAGGCAGTTTCTACTTCATTGTTATCCTACCACTTCTTCAAATACGTAGCTGCCAGTGCACTTCCTACACTTACCAAAGTTTATGTAAATCTTCATTGCTTTTGTTCCTTAACTGCTGACATGTCCACGAAGCTCCTATTAAAATGATGAATTCATACCATGAGATAATGCTTCTAGCTACGTGCCCTTTGGCAAATGACATAAACTTTCTAAACTTCAGTTTCCTTATCTTTAAACTGTGTAAAGCTAACAACTTTATAAAGTTGCTGTGAGGGTTACATTAGATAATGCACATGAAAATATTAGTAAAGTGACTGGCAACAGCACTCAGAAATGTTAGCATTAGTATAGTCTGTATTTCCACACCCTAATGTGAAACACTTGATATGAGTTACAAGTTAATTCCCAATTATCTCTAGAAAATACAATCTAAAACAAACCCCCAAGCCTCACTGTAGTTCATAATTTCATCATACATCTCTTCAAACCCTGTGCCAAACTGCCAAGGAACAATTAACTCTACTATTATATTGTCCTTTTAATTTTATCTTACAGAAGGAAAATCAGAAAATGCCTACATAATTACCAAACTGGATAAATAATCCCATAATGAGGGAGGGTTCAATAAATATATTTAATATTGACCAACCCCGTCTCTCACCAGATTTTACTTTCTCTTCCCCCCAATTCTTTGGGTCATCAAAAAATTCTTCTAGTCCTTTTCTCGACAATGTGGTATGAAGTGATCTACACTGGTGAAAAGCTGTGACATTCGGTAGATTCCCAGGCAACAAGCCAACCGCAAACCTGCAACTGAACACATACAAGTAAGTGACTGAAGTTTTACACCTGGAGTTTATAAGCAGTAAACTGAATCATTTCCTCACCTACGGTGTTAAAAAGCTTACTTAGGGTTTCTGCACAGGAAGCAACAAACTTTTAAAATGCATTAGCAAGTATTTTTAATATTACATTGTAGGCGACTGAGACTCTATAATTTCAGAGGTAACATCTATACATTATCATATTTTAATATAACATTTTTAGTCCTTCACACTCTGCTTACTGAGCGTATGAACAGGTAACAACATTCTGAAGGTCAATTGTGCAACATGTATCGAGAGCTCAAAATGCTACCTTTAACCCAGTAATTCCACATGTAGAAATTTCAACTAAAGAAATTATCATAGATGGGAATTTATAAATTGTCTATTAAGGCATATTTATTACATCAAAAAGTTGACTATAAGGTAAATTCCCAAAAACTGGGTCATGGTTAAATAAATTATCCATATGATAAACTATTATGGAGTAATTTAAAAATCATGGTTTTTAAGAATATTTAATGATCTAGGGAAATGATTTCAAACAAAACAGTGAAACGCATCACCCATGCTGTACTCCTGCTAAAAACGTTTACTCTGAATCTAATCACGAGGAAGGAGCCCCTGGGTGGGCCAACAGTTAACTGCTGAGCTACCAGCCAAAAGGCTGGCGGCTGACACCCACCCAGGGGCACCTCAGAAGGCAGGTCTGGAAATCGGCTTCCAAAAGGTCACAGCCTTGAAAACCCTACGGAATGGTTCTACTCTGCACACGTGGGGTAGCCATGAGTCAGAATCGACTGGACAGCTCCTAATGACAACAATTATGAAGAAACAGAGGAATCTAAATGGAGGCATAGTCTGCAAAGGCTGATCTTGTCAAAAATGTCAACATCATGAAAAAGGCAATAAAAAAAGGAACCATTCTAGAGTAAAGGGAACTAAAGGGACATGCCAACTAAATGCAGTAAATGATCTTTGATTAGGCCATGAATCAAGAAGGAAAAATAAAAAAGGAATTACTGGGACAACTGACGATACTGATTTGAACTATGCACTAGGTAACTGTAGTGTAATAGTAACATATCAGTATTGAATTTCTTGAGTGTGATTATTGTAATGTGGTTATTAAGCGAATGTCCTTGTTCTCAGGAGATACGTGCTGAAGCTTCATGTCTGCAACTCTGACGTATCTCAAATAAATTTTAAAAAGCATAGATATAAAAGGGATAAAGAAAACGTGACAAGATGTTACTGACTGGTTAACCTATGTATAGGGAATATGCACAGTTTTGGTACTACTATTGCAACTTTTCTGTTGGTTTGAAAAATTTTAAAATAAAAATGGTAGGCCACAAAAATGAATGTATGTATGTGTATATATGCAATGTTAAAAAGAATGGCAGGAAATCTGTTTATCACAGAGTGATGGAATTATAATTGCTTTTTACTTTCTTCGAAACACTCCATTTTCCAAACTGTCTGAAATGAACATTCATTTTATTATAATAATTTTAAAAGCTTAAACTATCTTTTTAAGAAAAAAAGATGAAGTGTAAGAGACAACTGATCCGAGTTTGCCCCATGAGCAAGTTACAATCTCTGAGCCTCTGCAAAATAATTTTTAATGTCACTGAACTGTGCATGTAGAAATTTTTGAAATGGTGTATCTTTGGCTATGTGTATTTTCACCAAAAAAAAAAAAAAGGTTGAGAAGTTAGAGGGTTGATATGTTCTGGGGTTGTTAACCAATGTCATAAAACAACATGTGTACTTCTGTTTCATGAGAAACTATTTGTTCTGTAAGCCTTCACCTGAAGTACAATCAATCAATCAATCAATCAATCTTTTTAAAAGGCGCTTTTCTCTGAGGTTAACATAAATAGCAGCACATAATACTCAAAAATCTGTGCTTTCAAGAGCAGATGCATTACTTCTTTTAAAAAAACTGACATACCCTACTATTTATAAAAGTAATTTTAGAAAAATGCAATAAATAGAATGAAGCCATACACTCCAAAGTAAAAAACGATCGGTCTGTAGAGAAGACAAGCTGTCTTTACACCTCGAAATAGTGAATACTATGTGTAGGATGTTACTTTCTCACACCTGCAGGGCGACTTTCCATTTATTCGGCTACTTCATTCATTCAACATTCACTAAACAATCTCTTTGTGACAGAGCGTAGAGATACAGACGCCTCTTGTTTTTTATCCATCCAAACCTGAGCATCCTTCAGTTCCACAGCAAAGATCTCTTCAGTAAAGTTTTCTCGAACCCACCCAGCCCAACAGCACGCTTCTATACCTCTCGGCTTAATGCATCAAATACTGGGCGTCTACCAACCCCACGTCTCGCCTGGTCCACAGCAGGCGGCAACAAAACGTCTGAGGAGGGAACGGAGATACCTGACTACTCCAAGGTCACTCACCCCTCACGGAAGTGGGGCTTTGGGGTCAGGCATCCAGGCGGCCTTTGCCTCCCTGAGCCGTTCTCAGTCTCTTGGGACCAAAGATCCAAAGCCGGAAAAGGTGGACAAAACTTTTCACTCCTCACACCACTTACCCTGGACTAGTAGGGGCCTGAGAATTAATTAACACTCTGGAAGCCTTCAGGGCGGCTGAAACCCCTTGGCAAAAACCTGCCAAACGGGACGCAGCCATTTTTTCAATAGGTAAGCAAACCGCGTTTCCGCCAACAGAACGTCACTTCCGCTTTCTCACGCCAATCGGACGAAGGGAAGAGGAAAGGCTTTTGCCCTCACTCAACATGGCCTCCTCCTACCTTCGCCCTCATTGGTGAATTGGCTCTCTCGACTCCCATTACTCTCCCTGCTGCTGCCGATTGCCCGGAAGAGCCATGGCGGCTATGAGTTTACTGCAGCGGGCTTCGATCACTGCATTGGCAGCTCTGTCTGGCCGCCGCCTTGCCACGCGACTCGGATTCGGAGGGTTCCTCACCCGTGGCTTTCCGAAGACTGCCGGTGGGTACTAACCTTAGAAGGAAGCGCGCGCAAGGGGGGCGGAGTGAGAGATGGAGGACTCTCCCGGATGACCTTGGTGGGATCCGGAGGGAGCGGGGAGAAATTGTGAGCTTGGCGCTTGAACGGAGAGACGGAGCAGGGGCTGTGTGACGAGATTGAAGTAATCAGATCCCTCGCGTTTAAACTATTAATTAGCATTTGTAGAACACTTCGCCATTCACCATCCCGATTGGTGCTCATTTGCCAATGAAGCTGAAGCTAGGAGGGGATAGAGCTGAGACTCCTGTCTGTGAGACATCGGATTCTTTGTACGTTCCACCTGCTCTAGGTTCTAGTCCCACAAGATGGGAAGTCATGTTGCTGAGGAGGCCGCTGTTACTACATATTATGTAGACAAGCGGAGGTTCAGGGACAGTTATCCAGAAGGCACGGTGCCTGTAGAGCCCGGTACTTTTAAGAGTCCAGAAAATGTTTTAATTCTTTTAAAATCAGAAGAAAAAAGACGATAGTGTTAATGAGTATGGGATAATGAATCCAGCCTGGCTTGCATTCATTTTCTAACAACGCAGTCATAAAATATAGTCTTAAATATCTTTTTATAAAGGCAAAAGTACCTAGGTCCCAGGAAAGTCATAGTGCAGCGCCGGGAGGGCTGTTTGGAGTCTCCCGGAGAGGATGACTGCCTTCCAGGGATATGAATAACCATAATAGCAGCACAGCAGATTCTTTATATTCAGCCTTATTCTCTCAAAGACTGCAAAGTAGGTACAATGTTATTAGTCCTATTTTACAGATGGGAAAACTGAGACTCAAATGTTACAAAAATAATGCACAATTGTAGTAAATTTACTATTAACAACAACAGCCAACACATGTATTTACTGAGCGCTTTCTATGTGCCAGGCACCATTCGAAGACTTTTAAAGATATTAATTCATTCAGTCCTCTTGATTAAAGATACACTGTAAGCTAACTGACGGATTCAGTATAAGTATGTAAGAGGAACGGAAACTTTTTACCCGAAAGCCAAAGAGAACTTGTCCCACCTCAAAAGTTTTTTACCATCATATCACTCTTCTCTGCTTCCAGTTTAATTTGGATTATGCCATTTCACACGATGAGGCAGTATACATAGAGACAGACTTGGAGAAGTGATGGAAACGATGAGCGTATTTAACAAATTTCTAGCAGGAATGTTAACATGTCATAAACCTACCTGTGCTAACATTTCTTGATAAAATCTTTTTGTAAGTTATTTCTTATTGCAAAGATCCTCATCTTCAAATCCTTCTCCAGCTAATATTTAACCAAGCCTAACTGGAGATAAACTGAGGCAGAATTTCACTCTCAGTTCTTCTTTCTCTGCTCTTCCCATTCCTGGAGTTCTGGAAGGATCACTAACAGATGGTCTAAGCCCTTTCCACTTGGAGCAGGAAAGATCTAATAGCCATCTATAGGGTTACTGTTTCAATTATGTGTACCTGGCTTTTTTTGCATGTGCAAACTTTGCTTTCACTGTAGAATGGAAGATTTTATCTGTTTATGTTATGTTATTGTTTATGTCTTCCCCTACTAGAATGTAAGCGCCAATAGAGTAGGGAACCTTGTCTTTTTGCTTTGTTATCTTTGGAGCTAGACTGCCTACGTCCAAATCCTGGTTCAGAACTTCGTAGCTTTGTGGCCTTGGGCCGTCAGGTCTTGGAAGCTAAGTGGAAGGGACTTGATTAATGTGTATACTTAATTGCTCAGAACCTGTACTTCCTCATCTGTAAAATTAAAAATTAAAAAAAACTCATTGCCATTGAGGCAATTCCTACTCACAGCGACCCTATAGGACAGAGTAGAAGTACCCCATAGAGTTTCCGAGGAGCACCTGGTGGATTCAAACTGCCGACCTTTTGGTTAGCAGCCATAGCTCTTAACCGCTATGACATCTGGGTTTCCCTGAGGGTGATAATTGTAACCTACCTCATAAAGTTGTTGTGAAGAATGAATGGGTTAATATAGTCGGTGGGAAATATTTCCAGCACATGGCATTAGCCTTCTGTAGGGCCCTGTGGCCATACCTTCTTTGAACATCTAGTGCTGTCATGCTGTCTTCATTCACCTCAGTGAAAACTTCTGTCAAAAAATAAGCAGATAAAGGTAATCTCTCTATTTAATTAAATTATTTTTAAATGTCAGGTATCAAGGATTCCAAAAATGACCTTAAATTCTCCCTTCAGCTGCAAGGAACTTTAATGGGGAAAATGGATGTGAGCAAATTATGGTTTTAAAAAAACTGAGGAGAGTATTAGAATGGACATACAAACAAAGTGCTGTGGAGTTAATTCAGACATGGTAGATGTGGCATTTTAACTGGTTTATGGGGATAGTTTTAACAGGTGAAGTCTGCACAAAAGGATGAGTTTTCTGATATGTCTCGGTATGGGGCTCTTGGGATAGGTAGGTGTTGAGAGAGAAGGCTAAAAAAAGGAGATTGGGACCAAACTGGGGGAGAGGAGGGGCTGAATTCAAAGACAGAGTATCTTAACCTTATTTTGTAGCCAACAGAGAGTCATAGACAATGTTTTAGCAAAGAATGGCATCCATTGTATGTTTTAGAAAGATGTTTCTGAAGATTGCACGGCTTACAGGGGATACCGATGACTTAAGCCACTGAGGTAATGAGGGCATGGAAAGAAATGGAGAGTTTAAATCTTAGAATCAAGAAGCCTTGACAACTGATGAATGAGGAATAGGTACAGGGAAGATGACTGAGATTTTTGTGTGTTTGAGACACAATAAGCTCCTACATTATCTTACTTGATCCTCCCCAAACTCACAATTGTCGAAGACTCAGTAACTCTCCTGAGGCTGTTTGCATTTTTAAAAACTGGTTGTTGAAGCCTTAAAACATGTTGCTGTCGAGTTGACTCTGACTCATGGTGACGCCATGTGTAGGGCAGGCTCCGCAGGGTTTGCAGTGGCTGATTTTCCAGCGGTGTATCACCAGGCGTTTATTCCTAGGTGCCTCTGGGTAGACTCCTACTTCTAACCTTTCGGTTAGCAGCTGAGGGTGTTAACTGTTTGTACCACCTAGGTACTCCATTGAAGCCTTGTTAGTTGCTATGGTGTCGATTCCGACTTGTAGTGACCCGATGTATGCAGAGTAGAACTGCTACAGAGGGCTTTCAAGGTGTAACCTTTCAGGGAGTGGAGATGGGGGTTCCTCCTGCTTCAGCCCTGTACTCCTAGTATATCAGGTTAACACTGAATTGGCCTTTGACTTTCTTAATAATCACATCACCAATGATTCTTAAGTTTGTGGGCAACTAATTTTTTTTTTTTTTTAAAATCTGGGCAGGACTTTACATTTGATTTATTACATTTAATCCTTTTAGATTCATTCTTTTGTAAATGTATATGAAGACTTTTTTGAGATCCCAATTTCATCATCATCATCATTGTATTAGCCCGTCTTGTAGAAGCAGCTTTATGTCCTCCTTCAAGACTCAGCTTGTCAGGAATGTCATCTCGCCTCATCCGAGCCAGTCACAAAAAGTTTGACATCACAGGACTGTGAAGAGAGCCATTGGCAGGGTACTGCAGTAATTAATCAGCACCTTTGTGGGTGTAATCAATCGATTAGCCATTACAAATCCATCTAACTTGCTCTTCTCAGCTTGGAATGGGCGTCCCTCCCCTACCTGCCCACTCTCCTCTCCTCTCCTCTCCTCTCCTGTCTTAAGTAGGAGCTTGTCCTCTGTGCCTGTTCTGTTCTGACACTGTATCCTGTTTCTTTGTTGCCCTAATAAACTTGTGATTGTATTTATCTATTAGTGTATTGTCTGCCTCTTCCAGCAGGATATACATAGCCCTTAGACTGTAGACCTAGCATAGGACCTGAACAGTAGGCACTTAAAAAGTAATAGTGTCTTTCAAATGATTTGCTTTGTCATATTCTTTTGTTTTAGAAGCTTTAGTGGTACGAATTGCACTTAGTAAATTTATATCAGCTTCTAATTCTCATGTGAATTAACTTCCTAAGTTTATTGCAGGATGTTGCGGGTGATAGTAAGATCAAGAAGACAGTTTTTACCTCCAAGACATTTACAGTTCAGCTGGGGCAGTGAAAGCAAGGACACCTGTCACTATAACGCACAGCAGTTCAAGGGAAAGAGAGATCTCATTTGGTTGAGACGAGTATTAGTCTCTTGGAGGATAATAGATTTCAGCAGAAGGGAAGGCATTCCAGACATTGCAGTATGAACAAAGGGTACAAATCTCCCTGACTTCTTCTATGACTGAAATTCTTTTAATAGGAAGTTAAACTTTTCATTCCACAGTGATAGCTAAGGCTTCACATGCAAAATTTCCTTGCGAGCAGTTACACAGCTGAAACGCAGTAACCCTCAGATACCCTACAACAGCTAAAGCCTTGTTGTTACTGTTAGTTGCCGTCAAGTTGGAAAGGGCTTACAGTACCTTCCAGACCTCCAAGAAAGCAGAACAATGTAGAAAGAGGATCTGGGAGTAAAATTGTGCGTCAGTTTTTCTCCAGCTGGGCTTGATTAAATACTAGCTGGGGGGGATTTGGTTGCTGTGAGTCAGAATCGACTCGACGGCAGCAGGTTTGTTTGGGAGGGATTTGAATAGTAGGATATTTGTAATTAGAAACAATTGACAAAGGGATTTTATCAAGAGATGTTAGAGTGTGTGGCGTTGTAGCACGTTTAAATTCCTGCTGAGGGTTTGTCAATAAATACTGCTGGTCCTTTCCATCTGTTCTGCAACACGTCCTTAATGTATATTGCCTCCCCTTCTGAAATGGCGTAATTTAAGTTATATTTCTTCCTTTTGCAGCACTGGCAAATATTTGTTGCAGATGTAAACAAAGATGAGTAGCCCACCAAGAATATCTGACCCTCCTGCCTGCTATTGAAACAAATTGGCACAATTATTTAGATATTTCATTAACATTGAATGCAAATGAGGAGAGCTGTAGTTTAGAACAATACATCAACCTGTGTTTAAAGATATCCTATCTGCCTTGGCCTTAGTACTGAAATAAAAAAGTGTTTTTTAAGATCTTAATTCATATTAAACTTTTATGCATGTACATGTTGTTATAATCTGTTTTATTTTAGACTATAGCAGTATACCTGTGTGAACCTTGTGTAAAACACGATATTTTAATATTTGCAGCTCCTGTTCGACACAGTGGAGACCATGGGAAAAGATTGTTTATCATCAAACCTTCTGGATTCTATGACAAGCGTTTTTTGACTTTACTGGTGAGTTAAATTTTGTAGAACTTTTTACATACAAAGTTGTGTTTTGTTTTGTTTTGTTTTGTTCGCCTATTTAGAAAACATCTTTCATTTTATAAAATATTTTATTTTGTAAATTCGTATTTCTTTCCTCAGAAGATACTGAAATAATGTACTAAGATTTGTTGGACCATAGTCCGCCTTATCTGCGGTTTCGCTTTCCATAGTTGCGGTTACCCGTGGTCAACCGCGGTCCGAAAATGTTGAATGAGTACATACCAAAAAAAACAAACCTGTTGCCTTCGAGTCGATTCCAACTCACAGCGACCCTGTAGAACAGAGTAGAACTGCCCCATAGGATTTCCAGGGAGCGGCTGGTGGATTCCAACTGCTGACCTTTTGGTGAGCAGCTGTAGCTCATAACCACTGCACCACCAGGGTTTCCGAATGAGTTGATAACATAATGAAATCTCACGCTGTCCCGCTCTGTCAGTCACATAAATTTTATTACAGTATATTGTTAGAATTGTTCTATTTTATTATTAGTTATTGTTGTTAATCTCTTACTGTGCCTGATTTATAAATTAAACTTTATCATAGGTATGTATATATAGGACAAAACATAGTATATATAGGGTTCAGTACTATCTGCGATTTTAGGCATCTGTGGGGATTTTGCAACATATCCCCCATAGATAAGGGGGGACTACTGTACTAAATCTTTTCTTAATTAGTCAAACTTTCTTAAAAAAAAAAAAAAGATTCGTGCTAATTGAAGATAAAACTTGAGCCATTCTTTTCTTCCCGAGATAATGGGTTTTTAAAATATAATCTGTGTTCCCTGCAGTAAGTAAAACAAAATTACAAAATGTGAAACTTTGAAAACTGATTCATTTTAGGATGGTTATTTGTATAACTATAATGTCCTTTAAATTACAAAAGAACTCATTGAAAGACTTCTTTGAATAAAGCGCTCCCTTATTTTTTATATGATTTTTATTTTATATGTTGCTCTTTATGTGATTATATGTTTTTATGTATATTTAATGTATTTTTTTATATATATTTTTCTTTATGCGTTATATAAAATCAAGAACATTGGTTTTGGAGAGTGAAGCATGCCTATAATACAATCTTAATTGAGCAGCAAAATAATAATCACATTGCTTATTTAGGGTACTTTATCTTTGTGCCTCAGGACTCTGTAAGAACGAGCTGTTTCTAAAGCTGCGACTCGCCATTTGAGCACTGACTGGCCTCTGTTCGTTCTCTTGCCTGCCCATTGTGCTTGTTGCCCCCCTTGGTTGAACTCCCAGTTTCCTTGCCACGACCAGCTCACACCCTCCACGGGGGCTGATGCTTTTATTTATCTTCTTAATACAAAATTTTCTAACCATTATTACATTGCTTTAACCAAAAAGGAAAAACCACTGTTAAATATATATTGTATTATACTTGTAAAATTGAGTAATTAGAACAAAAACATTATGCTTCACTGAGAATATTTTTGGAAACCCTGGTGGCATAGTGGTTAAGTGCTATAGCTGCTAACCAAAAGGTTGACAGTTTGAATCCACCAGCTGCTCCTTGGAAACTCAATGGGACAGTTCTATTCTGTCCTGTAGGGTCGCTATGAGTTGGAATCGACTCGACAGCAACAGGTTTGGTTTTTTTTTTTTTTTGAGAATATTTTTGGCCAGTGGTCAGTCACTGCTATTAAGTTGACAACAGCTGAAGGATGGCCAGACCCTAAGGGAAATGAATTATTTTGGGTTGTGCCACTAATGTCACTGATTATTTGTTTCCTCCTTACAACCATCAAACTGCCAACTTTTCTTAATCCTTACTTTTTTCCCTTCGCTTTTGGTGCTAAATATAACCAAAAACCAAAACCTGTGGCCGTCGAGTTGATTCCAACTCATGGCAACCCTCTAGGACAGAGTAGAACTGCCCCTTAGGGTTTCCAAGGAGCAGCTGGTGGATTCCAACTGCCCACCTTTTGGTTAGCAGCCCAGATCTTAACCGCTATGCCTTTAAATGTAGGCATCTGAAAAGTAGAGCAAAAGAAAATCACAGAAATCCATAATTTGATACTGCATCTCCAACTAGGCAAGTTTATTTTACAAGAAATATAACAAAATCAGAGTAATGGGTCACAACTACCACAGTCTGCACCAGACTGAATCCAGCACAACTAGACAGTGCCTGGCTACCACCACTGAGCACTCTGACAGGGATCATAATAGAGGGCTCCGACAGAGCTGGAGATAAATGTAGAACAAAATTCTAACTCCCAAAAAAGTCCAGACTTACTGGTCTGACAGAGACTGGAGAAACCCCGAGAGTATGGCCCCTGGACACCCTTTTAACTCAGTACTGAAGTCACTCCTGAGATTCGCCCTTCAGCCAAAGATTAGACAGGCCCATAAAACAAACAAGACTAAAGGGGCACACCAGTCCAGGGACAAGGACAAGTAGGCAGGAGGAGACAGGAAAGCTGGTAATGAGGAACCCAAGGTCAAGAAGGGAAGAGTGTTGACATGTCATGGGGTTGGCAACCAAAAGTCACAAAACAATTTGTGTATTAACTGTTTAATGAGAAACTAATTTGCTCTGTAAACCTTCATCTAAAGCACAATAATTAAATAAAATTGTTTAGTGAGAAAAAAAGATATAATGAAATCACGTAATGGGGATGATTTGAGGGTGGTGAAGGAGAGAGAGTTATGAAATGATCATGTGAAAATTTTAATTTTTTTTCTTAACAGAAATTCTACATTTTTTTGACTGGAGTACCAGTAGCAATTGGCATAACTCTGATAAATGTATTCATCGGTAAGTCCTCCACACCCCAGTGGGTAACCAATTCAACAGTTCCTACATGTACAACTCAGTGACACTGGTTACATTCTTCCAGTTGTGCAGCCATTCTCACTCTCCTTTTCTGAGTTGTTCCTCCCCCTTTAATATAAATTCACTGCCTCCTAAGGTTTCTATCTAATCTTTCCAGTTGCTATTAATTTGATACAATATGGATAGTTCTTACAAGAGCATAATGGTCAAAGCAGACATTTTTCACTAGTTCTGCTAAGCTGTTGCTTGGTTTTAAGAAGACTTCAGGGGTGTCTTAGTCATCTAGTGCTGCTGTAACAGAAATACCACAAGTGGATAGCTTTAACAAAGACAAATTTATTCTCTAACAGTCCAGTAGGCTACAAGTCCAAATTCAGGGCGTCAGCTTCAGGGGAACGCTTTCTCTGTTGGCTCTGGAGGAAGGTCTGTGTCATCAATCTTCCCTTGTTTTGGGAGCATCTCAGCACAGGAACCTCAGGTCCAAAGGACACGCTCTGCTCCTGGCATTGCTTTTTTGATGGTATGAGGTCCCCGTGTGTCTCTGCTCACTTCTCTCTTTATGTCTCAAAAGAGATAGACAAGACGCTGTCTAATCTTGTAGACCTCATCAGTATAACTGCTGCTAGTCCATTTTATTACCTCATAATGATGGAGTTACAACACATAAGGAAATCACATCAGATTACAAAATGGTACACACTCATACAATACTGGGAATCATGACCCAGCCAAGTTGACATATTTTTGGGGGATACAATTCAATCCATGACAAGGGGATATGTTTGGTTTAAGGCTTAAAGATTGTCTCAGGGCAGTATTATAAACTTCTGATGCTAACGTTGAATATCACCATTTTCTCTCATTAGGTGAAGCTGAATTAGCAGAAATTCCAGAAGGGTACATCCCTGAACATTGGGAATATTTCAAGGTTAGTGTAGGACGTTGAAAATGTCCTTCTGTTAGATGTCTTATCAATGCACTGGTTAATGTCTTAATTTAGCAATTATAGTTAGTTTTACATACAATTTTTGATATCAAGTAGATGACATAATTTTGCTCTCTTTTTATAAGCAACTTCTCTTGGTAGTTTTTTGCATTGATTTTGTTATTTTAAGTTTTATGGTTTTTGAAAGAATGACTCTGAAATGTGTTCCTGACCTAGCCAAGTAACAGATTTTATCTTAAGTTCAATGCCATGGGAAAGATTTTACCAGTACTAATGTGAACTGTCATTTATTAGCACCTACTGTGTAGCAGGCACTGTGCTAAGTGTTTTGCAAATATCTCATCCCATGTAAAAGGTACTATTGTTAGTCCCACTTTAGAGATGAGGAAACTAAAGCTTAAAAGATATTAAGTGACTTGTCCAAGAGTTAGGCCCTGTACTGAACCCAGGCAGTCTTGACTCCAGAGCCTGCACTGTTAGTCATTACGCCATACTGTATTCACTACCAAAACCCAAAGTTGATTCTGTTACTTGCCTTTGTAAGTGTTGTAGTGAAACGGCCTTGAATCTAGGACCCGTATGTTTGTAATCTGAGTGAATTATATTTTAGAAAAGAAATACTTTGTTATTAAATGTTGAAATAAACCATACATTAGTTTATCTTTGCTAACGGATGGAAAGAACTCCGTTTTTAAATCACCACATTGTAGGTTTGGCTCCTGAATCTTCCACGTAAGATGTTCAGCGTAGTGTAATGGGAAAAGCACAGGCTTTGAAGGTAGACGGGCCTGGTTTGAGTTCACGCACTGCCACGTACTAGCAGTATAACTTTGTGCAATTTGCTCATCTATAAAATGGGGATAAAAATAACATCCACCTAATGGATTAAAATTTTTTAAAATACATGAAAGTAGTTGGCATATAGTAGTTGGTTTACCTAACTGAAATGGTCAGTTTTAAAGAACAGTAAGCTAGAAAAGCAAAGTATTGTTTGGAAACTGACAAATTTTAAACAAATTTTCTCTTATAGCATCCTATATCAAGATGGATTGCCCGTACTTTCTTTGACTGTCCCGAAAAGAATTATGAAAGAACAATGTCTGTCCTTCAAATTGAAGCTGAAAAAGCTGACTTACGGTAAAAAAAAAGGGGGTTGCGGGCAGGGAAGAAAATCCTTCTCTAGTATGGCAAACTACAAGAGAAAAGTAAGACTGTTTCAACACTGTAGGATGCTCCACGTAAAAAGATGAAGTAGGAGAGAGACTGCCTGATTAGAGGGGAGACTATGAGTTGGAGACCAGGAGACTAGTTGTTGGGTGCCATCGAGTCAGCTCCAACTCATAGTAACCTTACGTGTAACAGTACTAAATGTTGCCGGGTCCCGTACCATCCTCACAGTCATTGCAGTGTTTGAGCCCATTGTTGCAGCCACGATGTCAATCCATCCCATTAAGGGTCTCCCTCTTTTTTGCTGACCCTATACTTTACCAAGCATGATGTCCTTTTCCAGCGATTGGTCCCTCCTGATGATGTGTCCAAAATAAGCAAGTCAAAGCCTCGCCATCCACGCTTCTACAGAGCATTCTGGCTGAACTTCCTCCAAGACTGATTTGTTCATTCTTCTGGCTGTCCGTGGTATATTGAATATTCTTTGCCAACACTACAATTTGAATGCATCAGTTCTTCTTTGGTCTTCTTCCCATTATCCAGCTTTTGAATACATATGAGACGATTAAAAATACTATGGCTCGGGTCAGGCACACCTTAGTCATCAAAGTGACATCTTTGCTTTTTAAGATTTTAAAGAGGTCCTATGCCCCAGATTTGCCCAATGTAATAGGTCATCTGATTTCTTGACTGCTGCTTCCATGGGCATTGATTGTTGATCCAAGTCGGAGGAAATCCTTCTCAACTTCAATGTCTTCGTTACTTATCATGATATTGTTTATGGGCCCAGTTGTGAGGATTTTCTTTTTCTTTACATTCAGTTGTAATCCATACTAAAGGTTGTAGTCTTTTTTTTTTTGGCAGGGTTTGGTGAGAAGGAACTTTCATTTAAATGATTTGTGTGTGTGTGTGTGTGTGTGTGTGTGTGTGTGTGTGATTTAGGTAAAAGTTTACAGAGCAAATTAGTTTCTCATTACACAGTTAATACACACATTATTTTGTGACATTGGTTGCCAACCCCGTGATGTGTCAACACTCTCCCCTTCTCCACCCAGGTTCCCTGTTTCCATTTGTCCACCTCTCCTGTCCCTTCCTGCCTTCTCATCGTTGCTTTTGGGCTGGTGCGACCATTAGTTTCGTGTACATGATTGAACCGTGAAGCACAACCCTCTCATATATTATTGTTGGCTCTGTAGACCTCAGAAGTGACTTCAGTACTGAGTTAAAAGGGTGTCTGGGGGCCATACTCTCGGGGTTTCTGCTTTCTCTGTCAGAACAACAAGCCTGTTTTTTTTTTTTTTCCTTTGGTGAATTTGAATTTTGTTCTACATTTTTCTCCTGCTTTGTCTGGGACGCTGTATTGTGATCCCTGCCAGAGCCGTCAGTGGTGGTAACCAGGCACCTTCTAGTTGTTCTGGGCTCAGTCTAGTGGAGGTTGTTGTGGTTGTGGTCACTTAGTCCTTTGGACTGATCTTTCCCTTGTGTTTTTGGTCTTCTTCATTTTCCTTTGCTCCAGCCAGGATGGGACCAATAGATGTATCTTAGATGGCTGCTCATGGGCTTTTAAGACCCCAGTCACTACTGGTGAGAAGGAGCTTTTAAAAATCATATTCCTTCATAAAAATGTTGGTTAATGTTGATGGTTTCTGTCGAGTCAGCTCTGACTCATGGTGACGTCGTGTACAGAGTAGACCTGTGCTCCGTCGGGTTTTCAAGGCTGTGACCTTTTGGGAGCAGATCACCAGACCTGTCCTCTAGGTGAAGGTTGTAGTCTTTTACCTTCAGCAGTAAATGCTTCAGGTCATCTTGATTTTCAGCAACAAGGTTGTGTCATCTGCATATCACAGGTTGTTAATGAGTCTTCCTCCAGTCCAGATGCCGTGTTCTTTTTCATTTAATCCAGCTTCTCTGATGATTTGCTTTGCATACAGATTGAATAAATAAGGTGAAAAGATACAACCCTGCCTCACACCTTTTCCAATTTTAAACCACACAGTATCCCCTCGTTCTGTTCAAACAACTGTCACTTGGCCTCTGTACAGGTTCTGCGTGAGCACTATTAAGTGTTCTGGAATTCTTATCCTTCGTAATATTGTCCATAATGTGTTATGATCCGCACAGTTGAATGGCTGTCCATAATCCCTAAAACACAGGTAAACATCTTTCTGATATTCTCTGAATCTGGCTTGAACTTCTGGCAATTCCCCATCAATGTACAGCTCCAGCCATTTTTTAATTATCTTCAGCAGAATTTTGCTAGAATGTGCTATTAATGATAGCGTTTGATAATTTTCACATTCCATTTGACTGCCTTTCTTTGGAATAGGCACAGATGTGGATTTCTACCAGTCGTTGGCCTAGTGGCCGTCTTCCACATTTCTTGACACAGGTGAATAAATGCTTCCAGAAAGAGACTCTTAGGAGGTGATATTTGTCAGATTAAAAGAAATTCTCTTTAAAATATCCTATTCTTTTTTGTGTGTGTGCAAGGCAACCCTCCTTTCCAGCAATTTCCTTCCCTCCTGCACCCAGTCTCATCCCGTTTAACAATTTCTTATATATATTCCTTAAAAAAAAATGGATGTGTAAGAAAATTTATATATCATTTAAAAATGTATTGATACACATGGAATCATTTTATAAATAACCTCTTCTCCACCTTTTCTTTATTTCACATGCTATATCTTGTTGACCTTTCCCTAACAGCATATATCCCATTCTTTGTAATGACTGCGTCATATATTTCATTCGATAGATACGCCTTAATTTTTTTAACCAGTTGCCCATTGTTGGTATTTAGGTTCTTTCTGAGCTTTTTGCTATTATACGGAATGCTCTGGTGAGTATCCTCATATTTTTGCGTACTTTTGCAACATATCTAGAAAATAAATTCTAGCAGTGACATAGATAAGCCAAGTGGCAGATGCTTTTAAGTTCTGAACAGGTTGCCAAGCTCTTCTCCAAAAAATTGCACCACTTGTCCTATCCATCAGCAATGCATGATGATTCTTGTTTCTCCAAATCCTTCCTGTAATGAAACTTACCAAACTTGGACATTTTGGCTGATATGGTAGTTGAAAAACGTAATCATCCTTTCAGTTTTGTATTTCTTTGTAAAGTTGAGTATTTTTTCATATATCTATTGGCTGTTTCTGTTTCTTTCTCTGTAAATTGCTCGTTTTTCTACTGATTTGTACAACAAGTAAATTATTAGCCCCCTTTTTTCTTGTTGCAGATATGTTTTCCCAACTTGTCATTTGTCTTGACAATGTAGAATTTTTTGGCAACATAGAAGTGTTTTTATGTTTCAGATGATAAAATTGTTGTTAGCATCAGCTCAGCCCCCGCCTCATGGCAGTCTCATGCGCAACAGAAAGAAATGCTGCCCAGTCTTGCACCATCCCCGTGATTAATTGCAGATTGGACCATTAGCAGCTATTAGTGTTTGAACACTTACTACGTAGCAATGTTTTAATCATTTTATATCTATTTACTTATTTAATTATTGCCAAGTTTGTCAGTCTTATTCTTTAGCTTCTGGGATTTTGTGTCATATATAGTTCTCTGACTGTAATTACATAAGTAAATACATAAATATTTTTTAAATGTCCACTCATGTTTCCTTTTGCTACTTTTAAATTTGAACCAATCAGAGATATTAGGAGTGAGCTATAATAAACATACGATAAACCTCACCTGTTGAGTTCAATGAGTTTTTGGCAAAAGTATATACCTATGTGACCACTACCCCAAACAGGATCATTTCGATCACCCTGAAATCTCCTGTGTGCCTCTTCCCCACCGCTTCCAGTCAGTTCCCATCCATACTCTTGGCCCCAGACTGCCCCTCATCTGCTTTCTCTTCATTCTGCTTTGAACTTTGTAGCTCATTAAATTTGTAATGGTAAGTGCTGAAATTACAGTGTTGCTCTTCCATTTGTTACAGGTTAAAAGAGCTGGAAGTACGAAGATTAATGCGTATGAGAGGTGACGGACCCTGGTATCAGTATCCGACTATTGATAAGGCACTTGTTGATAGTTCTCCAAAAGCATCTCCCGACAACTAATCGTTTATTGCTCCACATACGAAGTGTATTCTCTTTAGTGAAAATAAATTAATAAGTATACTCTGTATTTTTGCTCTCTGTGATGAACAAATGCGCTGCTGCCATTGCTGTGTTTCTCGGTGTTGATTGTGATTAAGGCTTAATTTGGGGCTTCTGGCTTCCTCTTTTAAGGAGGTTTAACGTGTTATAATAAAAACTGGGAGAAGTAGAAGTAGGCAAACTCCTAAGGTTGTGGTAACTTTGAAAGGTTAATCTTTTATTTATCTGATGAATTATAGAAGAGAAGGCTAGTTATGTTAAGTGTCAAGGATTATAGTAACTTGTACACATGTCTGTATTGTAGACCTCTGGATTATTCAGTGGCAACTCAGGATTTTAAATTACACAAATACTGAATCAGTTATTTAAAATAACACCTTAATAAACAAATTTTGAGATAACAAATCTTAAAGGTTTATTTTCATGTTATCTTTTTTTAGCCACATGCATTGTTTTTTTTTAATTTATGTACATTTTTCTTAGATGCTGTCTCTTAAGATTCCTTAAAGTTCTTTTTTGTAAACACTGCAGAAGTTGTTGTGTAAGGTAAAACGATTACTGCAGAGATTATGAAATGTTAGTTAAGGCTGAAAATACTAGCTGTTATTTATCATGAATTTACTGTGTGCTGAGCACTGTGCTAAATAACTTTTTTCATGTTATTTTCAAAATGATGTTGTGAGGTACTATTACTGTCTGCATTTTACAAATGAGAAACCTGTGGCTTAGAGATTTTAAATACATACTCAATATTTACGATAATAGGCATTTAAAACATAAAATGGCCTTTTAGCTTTAAGCGTCCATCATTTTCAAACCTGTGACAGCCTGTCAATGCATTCTTCCTGAAAGTCTCCTAGGCCTCCTAAAACTCAGGCCAATGGCTCTCCAGCATGCTCTCCTCAAGGCCAGGTAGAGAACTCAGCTTTGCTACCTAAATAACAAGCCAAAGGAAATAAAGCCTCAGGCCATTTGCTCAGTGGAGACTGAGTGGTGGTTGCATTTTCTTATTTCCCCAGGAGAGGGCTACCACACTCAGTTACTCCCAGATTTTGTTCTGAGGATTCAGGTGCAAACTAATTAACCCAAACCAAACCCATTGTGGTTGAGTCAATTCCAACTCATAGCGACCATATAGGACAGAGTAGAACTGTCCTGCCTCATAGCCACTCTGCAGGACAAAGTAGAACTGCCCTATAGGGTTTCCAAGGCTGTAAATCTTTTTTTTTTTTAGGTTCTATCTTGAGTCAATCTGGTTTTGTTTGTTTTGTTTTTTTATTTTTTTTTTATTGCACTTCAGATAAAGGTTTACAGAACAAATAGTTTCTCATTAAACAGTCAGTACACATATTGTTTTATGTATGATATTGGTTCACTACCCCACAACATGTCAACACTCTCCCTTCTCAACCTTGGAGGACCTTTTTTTTTGGTGAAAATATACATAGCCAGAGTTACACCATTTCAAAAGTTTCTACATGTGCAATTCAGTGACATCGATTACATTCTTCCAGTTGTGCTGCTATTCTCACTATCCTTTTCCAAATTATTCCATCACCATTATCTTCAACTCACTGCCCCC